AAAAAAAAAAACAAAAAAGAACTCCATGCTGCTTTGACCAACTGACGCATGCGTGCCTCTCCCAAAGGGCAGGTGTTGTTCATATGACTTTCCACTGTCTTTTAAGCAGTAGGTAGTGGCCTGGTGCTTCCCAACCAGTAAACATCAATGACAGATCTCAAATATATATTGTCTGAGAAAATCTGCATTCCTCAAAACAAGCTAAACCATCTCAGCTCCCATATCATCAATCAACCTATAGTTCAGAGTCAACCCTGAAAGGGCTCACAACCACTTGTATTCACCTCTTACTCATTACTATTCCCCAGGATTTTAAGTGACAGATTCCCAACCATTAAGTAGGAATATTTCCTAGGGAAATAAAAGCAGTGATATGAGTATGCTTAAATTCAAAAGCCTAGTGAGAATTTTATGATTATGAAACATTTAAATTCCCTCTCCATCTAGTGCTATCATAAATGAAAATAAAGACTTTTGGAGTAGTTTTCCTTCTAGGAGTCCCAGAAGCACTTTAGTTCCCAGTCACTCCTCTAGTGGACAGTAGCTATGTGACTTTGGACAAGTCTTGGATTCTGATTTCTTCATCAGCAAAGTGTAAGAGCCCAACTAGATAATCTCTAAACTAATCCCTTATAATTTTAAACTTTCACGTGTCCACATGGCCTAGTGGAAGCAGACTGGATTAGTGATGTAGGCTTGTATCCTGGTTGTCCCAAGTCAACATCTCTGAATTTAATGTTCCTTATCTGCACCTATAGATAATGATATGGACCTTACCAGCTTTCAGTGAAAATTAAAAAGAGATGTCATGTGTAAAAATTTCAGGTACCCAGTGCCTCACTAAATGTTAGTAGACTCTGAATAATACTCAACTTATGCAACCCTACTTAGCTTTCCTGGTGATGAGCAGAGTTAACTTCAAAGTGCCATGACCAGTCCGGGTGCAGTGGCTCATGCATGTAATCCCAGCTGAAACAGGTGGATCACTTGAGGTCAGGAGTTCGAGACAAGACTGGCCAACCTGGTGAAACCCTGTCTCTACTTAAAAATACAAAAAAAATTAGGCAGGCATGGTAGCAGGTGCCTGTAATCCCAGCTACTAGGGAGGCTGAGGCAGGAGAATGGCTTGAACCCAGGAGATGTAGGTTGCATTGAGCCAAGATCGTGCCACTGCACTCCAGCCTGGGTGAGAGTGAGATGCTGTCTCAGGAAAAAAAAAAAAAAAATGCCATGGCCTGGTAACCTTAAACAGTACCAGAGCTTGCTCATTAGCTGCGGGCCCATAAGTCAGCCATGGTGTCAAGCACACCAAGGTGAAAAGACACATTGAGTTTTCCACTATGTTCCCCTGGCTTTCCTGCGTCCTGAATGGAAGATGCCAAGAAGGGCTTTTGGTTAATTTCTGTTTGAGTCAATCCGCTTTCTGCTTGTTCTACTGCCATGTATTGTACCCTTAGCTCTAGCCAGCTGGCTGGAGCTTCCTTGTTACTGGACACAGGAAAAGTCAGACAGAGGGTCAGTTTAAATTTGTCAGTGCGCCTAGAAAACAACTCGACTGCGCATGCCCGGCTCTCAGTGGGGCAGGAGTGGCACCAAAGGCCACCCCAGGGAAATTCTAACAGCAGCAGGGATCACGACCATCATGGTGGGGATCAAACCACCTGCTGCTTGCACACACCATTCCGGTAGCATATGCACCTGCAGTAATTTAATGCCCCACAGGCCCTCACCCCGCAGCTGGCAGCCGCCTGCCTCCAGCTTCAAGTCACACCCGACGCCCTCTCGGTAGAGGAGCTCGATTCCGCGCAGGTTCTCCCTCAGCTCCTCTGCCTGGCTGGGCTTCTTTACACATTCCCCGGCATTTCCAGCCCTCTCGCATGTCCGCTGGGCAGCAGCCTTCACCCGGGGCGCTCCCAGCGCCTCGGCTGCGGCCAGCACATCTCCCTGCGGGGCGGGGCCCAGCACCCCCTCATAGGCAAAGGTCAGCACAGCCTCCCAGCCCCCTGGGGACACCTCGAGGCTGAAGGGGGGCCGCGGACCTCCGTCGCCCAGCAGCCTGTCTCGGAAGAGGCTGCTGATGGCGGCCAGGATCACCCGATGCACCCCGTATACCCGCCCCGCGACTGACACCTCTTCGTCCAGCAACAATCTCTGCTCCCGCAGCCGCTGGGCCTCAGCGAAAAACTGGCTCGGATGCTCCTCGCTGCGCAGCCACTCCGGCTCTGCCGCATCTTCATCTTCTTCCTCTTCCTCTTCTTCCTCTAGGGACAAGGCTGGAAAGGGAAGGTTCCCTGGGACCAGGGGCCTGGAGCCAGGCTCTTCCTGAGGAAAGGAAGGCAAACTGGGGTCCTCGTCGTCGGGGGAAGGAGGCCAGGAGGGGGTTCTCTGGGCGTGCACAGGGAGTCCAAGGCAGTCCTTCTGGACGGGATGAGAGCCACTCTCCAGCTCAGGGGAATGATGGGGGGTGTCCAAGACGCTCATGCCGAGGTTTGCTGGATAGCTGCGGGTGAGCAGAGGCAAGACAGCCTGGCGTCAGAGCTGGACCCAAAGAGGCCAGAGCAACCATGTCTCCAGCCAGTCGAAATGTCAGTCTCTCCCCTGCTCCAACACCCTCCTCCTACCCTAAGCCACATCCCAACACTGGAGTATCTGGGATATACAGGAAAACTATAGGGTACACACGGTGCAGTGAAACATGCAAGAAGCCGTGTAAAGATCCAGTAACCGGGACCACACCCCTCCCCTATTGCCCCCATCCTTTTAGTCACCCTCAGGAGACACCAACATTCCGCTTGCCCTCTCACTTGAGTGCCTGCTGTGCTTGGGGCTGCGTGGCAGCGGGAACTTGCCCACATGGCATCCCACTCAGCCAGTGGCCCCATGGGGCTAATTATAGCCGGTCCTGGCTGGCTAGGCACTTGGCACCTGGTGTCCTAACTCTGACACCCAATCCCCTGGGCACCCTCCCAGACTAACGTCCCCACCCTTCCACCTGTAGGTCATAGGGGGTGCTGATCTAGGCAAATTAGAAAACCAAGGAGAATGAGGGGATCCGGTGGAATGCGTCCAAGGCCAGAAGGGCTGTGCCACTAGAGTGGGCTGGAAGGGTCAGGCAAAGAGTCTGGACCAGGCTTTGGCTGTTGACTTTTCTGTGCATGATAAAGCTGGGACCCTGCCGGGCATGGTGGTTCTTGACTGTAATCCTAGCACTTTGGGAGGCCAAGGTGGGTGAGTCACTTGAACCCAGGAGTTTGAAACCAGCCTGGGTAACATGATGAAACCCCAGATTTTTTATCTCTACCAAAAAATACAAAATTAGCTGGATGCAGTGTCTCATGACTGTAGTTGTAGCACTATGGGAGGCCAAGGCAGATGGATCACTTGAGGCTAGCAGTTGGAGACCAATCTGGGCAACATGGTGAAACCTCATCTCTACAAAAAAATATAAAAATTAGCCAGGCATTGTGGGACACAACTTTAGTCCCAGCTTCTTAGGAGGTTGAGGTGGGAGGATCACTTGAGCCCAGGAGGCAGAGGTTGCAGTGAGCCGAGGTCGCACCACTGCACTCCAACTTGGGTGACAGAGCAAAACTCTGTCTCAAAAAACAAAAAAGCTGGGACGCAGGAGCGAACATAGCCCAGCTTTACCCACGGAGGGCAGAAGAGTGGGGAAAGTGAAGGGCCAGGGGGCAGGGCTACGGACCTAGGTGGCTCACCCCAGCACAGCGCTTCCTGTCTGTCCAGAGGTGGGGTCCAGGGTGAGAGCCTGAAATCCAATCGTGTCTTTGGAAAAGTCTGGGGAATTCTAACTCTTATCTTGGTGCTGGGATCAGAACCACAGTGGAAGGTGTGCTTGATCTGCATGCTGTGAGGACCAGAGTCCTGGACTAGATGGGCTATGGACATGCAGGTATTCCATCTGAGCCAGACGGTAACAGCCACTCCTTCTCCTTCCGAGACAACACTTCCTTTCTCATCCTGAGGCCAAGTGCTTAACTAAAGCCCCTAAAAGCCGTGCAATCACTTTGTGCCGCAGTTTTGAATGTCATCTTCCGGAAAGGATTTAGGGAAAGGTGCAGTGACACACTTCCTCTCCCTTCTCTTGGGGAGGCAGGACAGGCCAAGGGCTCCTACTTCCTGGCCTATAAAATGTCTGGTCCAGGCTGGATAGGTTGACTCCACAGGCAGACTTAATAACGGAAGGAGGCACAACTGTTCCTTGTGATTCAGATGAAAGGGCTCATGTGGAGGGCAGGGTAGGGTGGGAAAGTGGGCTGACCCGCACAGCACCTCCTCCTACTTTCAGAGCTGTCTCCATTTCCCCATTTGTGGCCTGGGTACCTCGGCAACTCCGAGTAGCTAGCATTCCCTGGGTGAGCCTAGCCAGCAGGTGCACTCCCCAAAATGGTTCTACTGAGAGGCAGTTTATGGTTATCCTGGTCAGCAAATGGGGAGATAGTGTCCAGGCTCTGCACCCTCTTTCCCAGTTCAGACATTTCTAATGCCTCTCATGGTGTCCCCAGAGTAAGACAATGTGGCCAGCATCTTGACCCCCAACCAGGAGCTGGAGGAACTGCAATCTGGTGGAGACATACCCCAAGCCAGCCTCTACTCACCACCTGCTTACAAGGACAAGGACACCGGACCCTGCTACGAGTTCTATGCCAACTCTGTAGTCCTGGGATGGCTCCATACAGCTTGGTAAGACCCAGGCCCCACAGTGAACTCCTGAAGGTAGGACAAATTCTGCATGTGGGCTACCACCACCCTTCATGTAGCTCTGGGACTGCCCTCCAGGTCCATCAGCTCTCCTCCTGGTTGCAGACACGCTGGCTAGCGAGGGGTCTTGGCATCTCAGTTATGTATGTGCTATCTCAGCCATGAAGTAGCGCCACGTCCACCTCAAGAGGAACCCCACACCCAGCCACACTCCCCAGATGATCTGGAGAATTCTGGAGCCAAAACCGGAAAGGCCCCAGTGCACTTCAGCTGGGTCACAGGAGCCATGGTAATGGATTGGCGCTCATGGTTCCCTAAGTCTGGGGATCTAGGCAGGCGAGAACTTTTTGCTCCAGGGGAGTTTTTGGGAAGTACCTCTGAAGAATGGGGCAAGGGGTGGGGTTCACACTGGAGACTGTGACCCCTCCCTTACCACCCTGCTCCCTGGATTTACTGTATGCTCAACATCTGGGGCATCATTCTCTACCTGCAGCTGCCTTGGATCGCTGCTCAGGCCGGCACAGGTATGAGCTCAGAGCTCTCCCGGGCAGTAGGAAGGGATGTACATGTATGAACAAATTCCCATCCTCACCCCAAGGCTCACATGGCTCATCGTCCTTAGTCATACCGTCACTGGGTTGTCTTACCTCAGCCATCTCCAGTAACGGCAGAGTCAAGGCTGGTGAGTCTGTAGTGACTCCCGCTCCTCCCTTCATGTTTCCCCATCCCTCATATCTGTTAATGAATTGTATGGTGTTCTCCGATGACCACATTTGGTCATTTCCTCACTCCCCCAACCCCTGCTATACAAACACTTTCATTTCCCCTTTTGGTACTGTTGGTACCTAGATAGCCCTACTGCTTTGGGATGGGGTTTTCTTCCCATGAAACAATGGGTATCATCAATCTCATTTCCAGGCTCCTGTATGATTCAAGATGCTTCAGAAAATAGGACTGACATGGGTGTACAGAATGGGAGCTGCCTGGGTGCAAAGTGCCAGTAGAGCTGGGATTTCAGCAGTTGTCGAGAGCAAGGGTCCTGCCTCTATGGGCTCTCTAATCACTACGAGGTGGGTGAACCAGAGCAGAAATGTAGAGAGAGAAACCTTGTCCATTGCCTGGCATAGCATAGATGTTTATTAATTTGAATGGGGCAAAACCTTCAAAGATGCAGATCAATTTTAATAAGTCTGGGAAAACTAGGTGAAAATATGGGTAGAATGCATTACTTTGGAAATGCATTGATTTTTACCTCTGTCTGCCCTTTACCTCAGGCCATAAACGTGGTGTCTGCCTGTAGCCCTCTGACATCTGCTGGAATCTTGAGTGCCACTCTGTTCTGTGTCCTTTCCTGCTTTGTTTCAGCCCCTAATATCTTCCAGGCTAGTTGAGATCTTAGCAAGAGGCTTGCAAGAGAAAGGAGAGAATGTTAGTAGACGTGGTCATCCCACATGTATAATTTTTGAGGAGGAGGGGCAAAAGAGGGCTTAGTTCTCAGCAACCAGGAGTTAGATGGTAACTTCAGGAGATGGAGATGACTGTAGCTGGCTAGCATTTAAAGAGATAATCCAAGCCCACATAGCAAAATTCAAAGTCTGCCTGTAAATCAAGGGAAAGTATGGGGAAAGGTCACTCTTTTTTTTTTTTTTTTTTTTTGAGACAGAGTTTACTCATGTCACGCAAAGGCTGGAGGCAATGGCATGGTCCTAGGCTCACTGCAACCACTGCCCCAGGTCCAAGTGATTCTCCCTGCATCAGCCCCAAGTACAGGCACGTGCCACCAACACCTGGCTAATTATTTTTGGTATTTTTAGTAGAGATGGGGTTTCACTACGTCGGCCAGGCTGGTCCTCGAAACTCTTGACTCGTGATCTGCCCGCCTTAGCCTCCTAAAGTGCTAGGATTACAGGCGTGAGCCCCCGTGCCCGGCCTGGTGTCACCCTTTTATCTACCTCCCCACTCTCAGTTTTTCCCCTCCCTCATTCCCAGGGATCTTACACACCCTACTCCCCCTACTCCTATGCTTTCTGCCTCTGACCCCTAAACTCCCTTGACTTCTGACTATGCTCCCCACTCTCCTGCCTCTTTACAGGAAGAGAGGGCTCTCATTCTCCCCCTTCCTGGGACCCGCCCCTGTTGAACGCCATGACTTCTTGCAGCAGCTGTGCCAGGATAAACCACACCGAGTCACTGGCTTTAGGGAAAGGCCATGGCAAGAACCATGAGCCTCTGCGGGGCTATCTGCTCACCTTCCTCATTGCTGTAGGTTTCATCCTTATCGGTGAGTACTCTCCACCCCACCCTCCACACCAGGCTCTATTAATCACCATTCCTCTCATGCCCTTCCCAGCCCTACCTCTGGCTTCTAGGACCTGATCCTAAAACCTCTTTTCTATCTGTTTTCCTGAAAGTGGATGAAAATGTCTCCTAACCTTGCAGTAGTAGGGGTGGTATGTGTGGGGGGCGGGGGTGGAGTGAGGAGTAAGAAGGGAATAGAGAGAATGGAGAAAGTAATAAAACAATGTCCTGGACTTCTAGACCTGGATCTTATGTCATTAGTGTGGAGACTCACTCCTGACCTTTCATTTCCCCCAAAGCTGAGCTGAATATCGTTGCCAGCTTCCTCCTCTGCTTCCTCGTCAACTTTGGCTGTTTCTATGCCTCCTTTACCTGGTTGCCTGGTTAGCGTGGGCAGGTGTTGACGTAAGGTCCAGGTCTGGAAAGACCCGGGGAGTTGGGAGAGCATCCTTGGGGTACATGAGTGGGTGGTGGTCCCCTGCAGGCTGGTGCCCTTCCTTCTGCAGGTAAAGTCCCTGGGTCTCTCTCCTGGGCTCTCTGCTCTGCCTGCTCATCATGTTCCTCCTCACATGGCGGGCAACATTGATTACTGTGATGCTTACCCTTCTGCTGTTATATGACCTACAAAACCTGGTGAGTGAGTAGGCGGGTGGGTAGGGAGTCAGGAAGTGAGTTACAACAGGAGACTGACCCCCACAAGAAGCCCAGAACTACGAAGAGTAAAATCTGTTTCCTCTTCTACCTGACGATTGATGCGCCACCCCTAATCATTCTGCACCACCCCTTCCTCTGCACAGTTGTGAACTGGGGCTCTTCAGTCCAGGCAGACACCTACCACACGGCACTGTCCTACTCAGTGGGCCTCACCAATGTGCAAGATCACATTAAGAACTTACAGTAAGGAAGTCTCTAGACGAGAGATTGAAAATGGTGGCCTATGGATGGAATCTTGCCTGGAAATGAGTTTTCTGATTGTGCAGCATTTACAATTTTTAAAATAAACTGCCAACATCTAAGATCCAGGAATCTACTAATCCTAGGTCTCCAACCCACACGACACAGTTAGCTGGGGCTGAGTAGCTCCTGTCCCATGGGATAAGTCTGGTGCTCTCCAGTTTGCCACAGTTCCCACTTGGTCCACTCCATTCTTTAATACTACGACTGGTTCTTGCAGACTTTTGGCTTTTTTGGGAAAGGCCATGGCAAGAACCATGAACCTCTGCAGGGCTATCTGCTCAGACACAGAAGGAAACTAGCTTCCTGAAATCTGGGAGGGGTAGTGGAGAAAAAGGAAGTCTTCTTGTCACCCCTCACCCAACATACCATATCCCCTTCTTTCCTTTTTGCTTCTCCTTTCAGGTCTCGCGTTTGAACCAACTGAAGTCCAATGTGCTGGTCTTGGGATATAAGCAAAATTGGCAGAAAGGGCCTATATCTACCATGGAGTACTACATAGGCATTCTACTGTGAATGTGAGATAGAGAAGAGTGAGATGGGCATAGAAATCGTCAGGAACTAGAAAGAAGAGGAAATATAATTGTAGTGAAAGCCTTGTTCCCAACAGCTGCCCAGCAGTGCCTGTGTCCCCAGGAAAGAGACCCCAACCCCTTCATCTCTTCCTCCTTTATCTCCTTCTCTCTCCTCTCCATAAAGTGATGCCTTTGACTACAACTATGGCATAGGCCTCATAAGGATGCCAGGAGGGTTAAGCCTGGCTACTCAACACCAAGCTCAAGGTGAGTGAAAAGAAGTGGGCCTAAGAGAAGGATGTGGTGTGGGAGGTATAGAAATTGGCTCTCAAAGACAGTCTGGGAGGCAAATGAACTCATCTAGAGTTACCAAGACCTAAGACTGAATAGAATTGCATACCAGGATGTGAGAGGAATGAATTTTACTTAAGGTTTAGTTCTCCTGAAATGTTTAGGGTGGGGGAAAGCTTCAAAGGTATCTTCTAAATTCAGGTGGGAGAAATTTGGATCAAAAGATACAACACAGCAGGGTGAGCTGGAGTGTGGTCAGGAAGGGCTATGGCCCAATTCTAGAGAAGGGTTTCTGGCACTATCCCAATTCTAATAATATTACACATCTTACCAGTTTACAATGGGCATACTTAACAAAAGGTAACATTATGTTATACCCCTACTTTTCCCAGTAAACCCACCATATTTGGATGTCACAAGGATGGATACTTAGCAGGAAGGAGACCAATGTTGTAGAGTGGGTTAGAGAAGCAGGCACCAAGGAAAATAAAAAGGGAATGTGGTTAGTCAATGTGGAGAGAAGCCACATGACATTTTTCTAGGATAGCAATAATTCTCTTAGGGAAGGAGAGGTATCATACTGAATTAGGAGCAATTGCTCAGCTGGATAAGGATAAGGAGTTTGTCTCATTCTTTTCTTCTCTCTTCTCAGACAGCATCCTTACTCCAGCAGCCTCAATGTTCCAGTCCAAGCAGGGCCAGAGGGCAGTGGACGTGTACTGGCTTGGTGATGATGAAGGTAGGGACTCCATGGCTCCCCATGAAGTCCCAAGTTCTCCAAGTTCCAGGGAGAATAGGAAAGGGAAGATAGTGACATATAAACCAGAAAGGACTAGAAAATGAACTCTGCATTTACCAAGGACCCAATACTCTCCTCCCACCTCAGAGGACAACTGTGGTGTTTAAAGGCCAACAGAAAAGTCAGTGTTGCTGGAGCAGAGCAAACAAGGAATTGAGTAGCAGATGAAAGTGGTAAGCAGGGAAGGGCAGAGTGGATCACAGACAGTCTCACAGGCCTTTAAAAAGACTCTGGGTTTTCTTTTGAATTAAGAAAACACTGAGGGTTTTGAGCAGAAGAGTAACATGATCTGGCTTCCATGCTAACACTATTCACTCTGGCTGCTATGTGGAGAATTGACTCTAAGTTGGCAATGGTAAAAGGAGAAAGACCAGCTACTACAATAATCTTGAAGACACATAATTCTGGCTTGCTCTACAGTGGCAGCAGTGGAAGTGAGGAGAAATGGAATTCTGGATATATTTTGAAGGTAGAACCAAGAGGATTTGATTAACTGGAGAAGAAAGGAAACTGACACAGATACTTCGACATGAACAACTAGAAGAATGGAGTTGTCGTTAACAGAAACAAGAAAGACTACAGGACTAAGCTGGGGAAAGAATAAGTGCAATTTTGAATATGTTAAATTTGAGATCCCTATTCAGCATCCAAGTGGAGGTGCCAATGGGCAGCTAGGTATTTAGAAGTCCAGGTTGGAACTATAACTGGGAGTAACTCCCATCAAAATGATTTTAATGTATACAACGAGATGAAGTCACTGCAGGTGTAGGTGTAAAGAGGGCAGTCTGAGGACTAAACTCTGTGGAGATGAGGAGAAACTAGCAAAGGAGATTAAGAAAGGGCAGTCAGTAAGCTAGGAGGCAAACCAAAGAATGCATCCTAAAGCCAAGTAAGGAAACTTTTCAAAGAGGGAATGCCAAATGCTGCCGACAGCTTCTGAGGATGAAGAATACAGTATTAGATTTAGCTATGTGCAAGTCATTAGTGACTGTGATAAGAATAGTTTTGGTGGAGATTTAATAGGGAACTGGTGGAGAGAAATCGAAGACAAGTCTTTCTAAGTTTTGCTGTAATGTGGAACAGAAAAATGGGAAGCAGCTGGAAGGGTAAATGGGGCAAAGTGGGCATTATTTGTAAAATGAGGAAAACAGTGGCATATTTGTGTGCTAATGGCAAGATTCAGGAGAGAAGAAAATACTGACTCTCCGGGAAAAGAGGGAGAATTATCCCTGTTTTTGAGAGTCTCGCTCTGTTACCCAGGCTGGCATGCAGTGGCACGATCTTGGCTCACTGCAACCTCCGCCTCCTGGGTTCAAGTGATCCTCGTACCCGAGTAGTTGGGATCACAGGCATGCGACACCATGCCAGCTGATTTTTTGTATTTTTAGTAGAGGGGTTTCACCATGCTGGTCAGGCTGGTCTTGAACTCCTGGCCTCAAGTAATCCACCTGCCTTGGCCTCCCAGTGCTGGGATTACAGGCGTGAGCCACTGCACCCAGCCCTGACTTCTAATCAGCAAAATATCCTCCTATCCACAGTGACAATCCAGTGTCCTCTGAGAAGCAAAATCAGCTCTGGTTGAGAACCACTGGTTTATGGTAACAGGAAGGCAGAGTACATGGGTACAGATGCTAGAAGGTGGTTAGTTTCAGGGGCAGAAGCCTGTAAATGTATACCGATTGCTTCTCTTTTCTTACTGAAATACGAACTAAGGTAAGAGTCAGAACAGGAGGAGATGTTAAGAGATTTGAGGGGTCAGAAGGTATGAAACAGTCACCAGAGAAGAGGGCAAGTGAAAGGACTAGAGAGATGGAATATTTCTGGGTGGCATAAAGGACCCCCATTTTAGTGTCATGGTCATAAGTTTAAAGTAAGAGCAGTCAGCATGGCTATTTTTTACTAGCCCTTTCGGCTGCATGGGTCTAAAGTAGGCGATGAGTTGAATATGACAAAAGCAAAAAAAAGGAAGGGAAATGAGGCGGATTCTGTTGGATTTATCATATTAAAGAAAATGAACTGGAAAGACAGGAGGTGGTGGTAGTAGAGAGTGGGATGTCTGAAACTGAGATGTGGAGGATCTGCAGCTCTGGAACATGACCAAGGAAATAAGTGGCTGTTAGTATGATCTACCTGAATATTGAAATCATCAAGATTTATGACAAGAGTGGCGTTCATGTGGTAGTTTGTTTCAAAGCAGAAGGGTACTAGGGATGAGGGACAATGGTCTGGAAACAGCATGAGGAAAAATGAGGACACGTGCACCACCCCCAGGCCCAGTGTACAATGGGTGTGGAAGGGAAAACACCACCTTAGGAGAAGCAGAGTCCTCATAAGAAACCAAGTCTGGAGAGCATAAATGTGAAGGAACATTCAGAGAAGAGGTTGAGGATACAGAGAATTTGACAAATGACTGGCCATCATTTCCAGAGGGTACAGTAGAAGAACTTCTGGAGTTGGAAAAGGTAGGTAGATGGAGACAAAACAGAGTGGAGATACGTGATTATTAAGTGTAAAATATGAGATGACTCAGTAGTTTAGGACTAATTGTGATGACTGATACCAACGTCAATAAGATAAAGGGTATGAGACTCGTTCTGTTGTGACAGGGAGGGATGTGCATCTGCAGACATTCCTCAAGCCTGCCAATGGATATGCATGTAGGAGAAAGTATATGGAGTAGATGCAGTTTTACTCTAGAGTTACAAATTAGACCAATCTCCAGGCTGTTTGTTTGTTTGTTTTTAAGAGACAAGGTTTTGTTCTGTCACCCAGGCTGGAGAGAAGTGACTCAATCATAGCTCACTGCGACCTCAAACTCCTGGGCTCAAGCTATCTTCCCACCTCAGCCTCCCTCGGAGCTGGGACTACAGATGTGCACCACCATGCCCAGATCATTTTTAAAATTTTCAAATAGGTGGTGTCTTGCTACGTTGCCCAGGCTGGGCTCAAACTCCTGGGCTCAAGGGATCCTCCTAACTTGGCCTCCCAAAGCACTGGGATAATAGGTGTGAGCCACTGCACCTAGCCTCCAGGCTATTTTGGGAGAAGTCTTGAGTACCTACTTCAAAGAATTTAAATGAGAGGATGAAAGTAAAGCAGTTAGCACAGGATCTGATACTAAACTAATAGTTACGATAATACTATTGTTGCCAGGCACAGTGGCATGCTTACTCGGGAGGCTGAGGTGGTAAGACAGCTTGAGCCCAGTTTGAGACCAGCCTGGGCAACACAGCAAGACTCCGTTTCTTAAAAAAAAAAAAAAAGATACCTCATTCTTCGTTCCACAGCAGTAGCCTCCAACAAGAATTTATCCAGCACCAAATCTATATTGGTCCTGAACAACACAATCCAATCACCAACATAAAAAACCAAAAAACCAAAAATATTTTATTGCTGAGTCATCTTGGGGTTCCATAAAGGACCCCAAGCCTTGCTTGGAGTCTATATCTTTGCTAGGACTCCTGTGACATCAGGATAGAGATTGAGGCACATGGTCCTTTGGGTTCCAATTAAGGAACTATCTGCTGTGATTCTGTTAATCTTATTAGTCCCTCCAGGTCACTTCTACTTCATCCGTCCGATACCTGTGGAAAAACAGAAGAAACATGGTGGAGAGCTAGCCCTTAACATCTTCCATTCTTCTCTGCCCTCGTGTTCCTGGACTCTCTTCCCTGCTGTTTTGTCTACGTCCCAAAAATCTACCCTCACCAAGAGCTGAATCACTCACCTCTGTGTAACCCCAGAATCACTGAGTGGGGTCCTGTGTCCAGCCTGAAACATCTCCCAGCCAGCCTGGGCTATCATGGCTCCATTGTCAATACAGAATCTGGGATGCAAGAGACATGAAAATTGGGATCTAAGGGTGGAAAATCCCTATAACAGGGAGCAGTAAAAAAGAAACCAAAGGGAAAGTGTGTTTACCTCTCATCTGTAGCAAAAAGCCGGGCTCCACGTTCCTGGCACATTGTCGCCATCATCTCCTGTAGCCTCACATTACCTACAAAGAGGTAGGGAACAGGATTAGCTTAGTTTTAGCTATCTCCTCATGGTCCAGCAGAACACGTCATGTGCACTTACTTAGAACAATGACGTAGGGGACCGGGGCAAGGATTGGGAAGCTTACTCCAAACCCTTAATGATTTAGAGTATCAGAAGGAAGACGCACAGTGCTAAGAACAGGAAAGAGGAACACTGTTCAATAATACATACACCCCACTCCTCCCACAATGAGGGCCTCCTGGGAGCCACAATGTGCCATGGCTCGCTCTGTGATCTCTACCAGCATTGCAAACACAGTTTCCTGTCGGGGACACATAAGGAGAAAATATTAGAGGGGCGCCCCAGATTAGTTCTGCTCTACAATATAAAACCTCCTCCAGTCCCAACTTTCTGTCCCAGCTTTTTACTGCATTACCTGCAGGGAGAAACACAGATCCTCAGGAGTACACTCGCCTGTGGCCAGCATCCGATGGGCTACATCCTACAATTAAAGGGAAAAACAAATGAATCAGCAAATCATGGTTTTGAGATTACATAAGAACAAAAGTTAATGCATTCAGAGAGTGACCATGTTTCACCACAATTCAAGTTACCAGCACATCCTGTACCACATTCCCTTCACTGGCATCATGGTATAGAATGAACAGCATTCATTTAAGATGCAATAATTAACTTTTGAATGCTTGTCCTGACATGTCTCACCCCTTACTTATCCTGCTTAATTTTTCACCTGTACTCATCATCATCTGACACTTCATCTATTTTCCTCTTTCTTTTATCTCCCCCACCCCCCCATTTAGAATCTAAGCTCCATGTAGGCAAGGATTTTTGTTTTGCTCCATGCTGCATCTCTACTACCTAGAACAGTACCTGGCACACAGAGATTTTCAATGAATACCTTATAAATGAATTTACTCAGCACATCATATGGACCAGGAATGTGCTATATGAACATACTGAGCTATGTGAAATACAACAGTAAGTAAAACAGATATGCCTCATTTAAAAAGCATGAAGGTGCCCCTGTCTCATCACCTCTCTCACACTCACCTCAATGAAAGACAGGATCCCTGAGAATGAGACGTCCATCCCCTTTACAGTGTATGGCAGCTCAACTAGCTTCTTGCCTCTGTGTGGGAATGAGTACGCAAGGCACTAAGCCTACAGTCAACCAGCTTCTGACCCTCCAAAGCCCCTCCCAAGTTCTGTTCATATATACCGTATATGGGGAAATCCCTGAAGCCCCAGCAGCCAGCCTGCTTCCACCTTATGTCTCCTTACCGCTTTGCCATCTGTTCAATGTTGTATCCTGGACTTGGGTCGTTAGAAATCTAGCAGAAGAAAAAAATAAGGAAAGAGGGAATGGAACAGGATGAAATCAGATATGCAAGAAGCATAAGAAGATTATTTACTATTTCCTTCCTCCACCTCCATGGCTTCCCAAAAGTTCACCCGCATTTTATGTTCTCTGCAGCCCCGTTGGCTTACCTTCAGCACTCGAGCAAAACGATCCAGACAATTACCCACTGCAATATCGATGGTTTCCCCAAAGATACGGTAACGATGTTCCGAGTATGCAATCACCTAAGGGTGATGAGGATGTCCATGAAACCCCAAGTCTGTAAACAGGATTATTTGGCTTTGGGAGAAAAACATAGCAGAGGATCAACATGACCACCAGAGCTTCCAATAAGAAGTGGAAGAAAGGTGTTTCCCAAATGGTGAATGGGTAATGTTTTTACAGCTCTGATTTGAAAAGAAATCTGCATACCCTGAGGATTCCAGGAATAGAGTCCTAATCTACAAGACAGTCTAGGTCCAAGCAGAAATAAATTATCATTTCAAATACATTTGTTTTCCAGCTTAGAAGTTCCTAATATATTCCTTAAATGCAGTCTTGACAGTAGGGAACAGGCTTTTCTGCTGGGAGGCAGAGAACATGAATCCTTCTAAATTATGACATAGTGACAGTGGTATTTGTTGTTTTGAGACAGGGTCTCGCTCTGTCTCCCAGGCTGGAGTGGAGTGGTGTGATCATAGCTCACTGTAGACTCGACCTCCTAGGCTCAAAGGATCCTCCCACCTCAGCTTCCTGAGTAGCTGGCCTACCATGTGTGGCTAATTTTTATATTTTTGTGGAGATCGGGTCTCACTATATTGCCCAGCCTGGTCTCAAACCCCTGGTCTCAAGCAATCTACCTGCCTCGGCCTCTCAAAGTGCTGGGGTTATAGGTGTGAATCATTGTATCCAGCTGGGCACTGGTATTTAGAACCAAGAAGCAGAGTTGAAGAACTCAAAAATCTCATATGGAGGCAGACTAATGGCCCAGCCAAGTCAGCAATAGCAGTCCACTTAAGACCATTTTTCTGGCCGGGCGCGGTGGCTCACACCTGTAATCCCAGCACTTTGGGAGGCCAAGGCGGGCAGATCACAAGGTCAGGAGATAGAGACCATCCTGGCTAACACGGTGAAACCTCGTCTCTACTAAAAATACAAAAAAAATTAGCTGGGCATGCTGGCGGGCGCCTGTAGTCCCAGCTACTCGGGAGGCTGAGGCAGGAGAATGGCACGAACCCGGGAGTCAGAGGTTGCAGTGAGCTGAGATCACGCCATTGCACTCCAGCCTGGGCAACAGAGCGAGACTCCGTCTCAAAAAAAAGAAAAATGGTCTTTTTTAAATTTAAAATATCTTCTGGCCGGGCACAGTGGCCCACGCCTGTAATCCTAGCATTTAGGGAGGCCGAGGCAGGTGGATTACCTGAGGTCAGGAGTTCAAAACCAGCCTGACCAACAGGGTGAAACCCCGTTTCTACTAAAAACACAAAAAATCAGTCATGTGTGGTGGCAGGTGCCTGTAATCCCAGCTACTCGGGAGGCTGAGGCAGAATAGTTTGACCCTGTGAGGCAGAGGTTGCAGTGAGCCAAGGTCGCACCATTGCACTCCAACCTGTACAATAAGAGCGAAACTCCGTTGCAAATAAATAAATAAGATAAAATAAAATACCTTCTATAATTTATAAAGTATTTTTATAGTTATTTATATTTCTAAACTTTTAGAACAACAAAGTCTATATAATCATCCCCAGTAATACAAAAACAAAACATGTAGTTGCCCTAAAATAATAAATCAGGTAGCATCCCTTAGTTCCCTTATTTTTTTTTCTTCTTTTTTTTTTGAGACAGAGTTTTGCTCTCGTTGCCCAGGCTGGAGTGCAATGGTGTGATCTCGGCTCACCGCAACCTCCACTTCCTGGTTCAAGCAATTCTCCTGCCCAGCCTCCCAACTTGCTGGGATTACAGGCACCTGCTACCACGCCAAATTAATTTTTGTTATTTCTAGTAGAAATGGGGTTTTGCCATGTTGGCCAGGCTGGTCTCAAACTCCTGACCTCAGATGATCCACCCACCTTGACCTCCCAAAGTGCTGGAATTACAGGTGTGAGTTGCCATGCCCAGTAACCGTTAGTTTCAGTTGCTAAGATTTACAGAAAAAATAAGCTTCAAAATAATGCAAGATCTTTCAGATATTCATTATTTTGAAGGCTTCAATCCTTACCATTCATTCCTTTCCTGAAGTAGAAATTCCTAATCTTTATGATCAGATATAAAGTCTGATAATGATAAGTCATCTAATGTTCTGAACATGCTGCCAAAATTTGCAATGTTACAAACTCGGTTGGGAGTTTTCTGGTCTACAGTATTTTAGGTTCAGATGAGTTCAGCTTTGTTCCTGACATTCCCATGACTCAGATAGAACAAAGAAGACATTGGTTCAGTGCCTCAGAAATTGAGATGGAATGGGTAGAGCACTCTAAATACCTGCGTATTTCCTCCACTGACATACAACACGGTTGGGCTGGTGGCTCCAGTGATGAGGCGGCCCATCTCAATGTGGCCTATACAGTGGTTCACACCCACCAATGGCTTATTCCACAGTTGGGCCACAGTACGGGCCACAACAGCCACAGAAACCAGTGGGGCACCCATGCCAGGGCCTAGGGAGATAAAAATGGAAGTTACAATGCTAGAGATTGGAAAAAAAATAGGTGGGGGAAGTAAGGGATGTGAGGTGGGATAGGGGTAGTGGTGGTGGCAGAGGTAAGGTGTTGGCTATTTTGACCTAGCCAGGTTGCAGGTATATTCCTCCATCGTTGACCACTCTCCCAGCCATACCCTTGGTGTATGCAATGCAATCGATATCCTGGGAGGTTAATCCAGACTCTGTTAGTGCCTCCTGCAGCAGGTCTAGGATAACAGCTCGGTGATGCCTGGCTGTATCACCTGGAAGGAATCCTAGAAAATGAACACAGGTCAGAGATCACAGGGATTTTTGGTAGCAAAGGTAGGTAGGAAGTTAAAGAAAGCAACAGGAGTTTTAGTGATGTAGTAAGAGTCCTTTCACTTTCCCCAAGCATCCTATCTTCCACATTTTCGGATACACTCTTTTCAGCTTCTATATAGGCTGTTCAACTTTCAGAAATTCTCTTCCTCTTACCCTACTCAGCCTTCATGCCTCAATGCAAGTGGTATCTACCCATACCCTTTGGTGATCTTTTTTTTTTTTTTTTTTGAGACGGAGTCTAGCTCTGTCACCCAGGCTAGAGTGGCCTGGTGCGATCTCGGCTCACTGCAAGCTCCACCTCCCGGGTTCATGCCATTCTCCTGCCTCAGCCTCCCAAGTAGCTGGGACTACAGGTGCCCACCACTGCACCCAGCTAATTTTTTGTACTTTCAGAAGAGACGGGGTTTCATTGTGGTCTCGATCTCCTGACCTCATGATCCACCCGCCTCGGCCTCCCAAAGTGCTGGGATTACAAGTGTGAGCCACCGCGCCCGGCCTTTTTTTTTTTCTTTTGAGACGGAGTCTTGTTCTGATGCCCAGGCTGGACTGCAGTGGCACGATCTCGGCTCACTACAACCTCTGCCTCCTGAGTTCAAGCAATTCTTCTGCCTTAGCCTCCCAAACAGCTGGGACTACAGGCGACGCCACCACACCCAGCTAATTTTTGTATTTTTAGTAGAGACGGGGTTTCACCATATTGGCCAGGCTGGTCTCAAACTCCTGACCTCGTGATCCGTCTGCCCTGGCCTCCCAAAGTGCTGGGATTACAGGCCTGAGCCATCGCGCCCGGCCTGGTGACCTTCTTTCTCTGTGACCCTACAGAACTCTGTGCATGATGATGTCATTTATTTAACAATTACAGCATTATAATTTTCTGTGGTTTGCTCAGCTTAATCATGAGTATCTCAAAGCAATGAGTATTTTGTTTATCTTTGTATTTCCAGTGCCCAAGTGCCTAGAGGAGTGAATGCTAAACGTACATACCTATTTCTAATGAGTAATCTGTCACATCACCTGTTCAGGGAGGCTTTTCAGATACATGCAAATCAGTTGCCCCTCTCCTATGTATGCAAGTGTTTGAGGGGAGAGTAGGCAAGATACAATGGCTTATTAAAAGTATCAATTAAAAGTTGTAATGTGTTTTGTACTTTCTTTTTCTTTTTTATTTTTTTGAGACGGAGTTTCACTCTTGTTGCCCAGGCTGGAGTGCAATGGCATGATCTCGGCTCACCACAACCTCAGCCTCCCGAGTAGCTGGGTTAACAGGCATGCGCCACCACGCCCGGTCAATTTTTTGTATTTTTTAGTGGAGACAGGGTTTCTCCATATTGGTCAGGCTGTTCTTGAACTCCGACCTCAGGTGATCCACCCCGCCTCGGCCTCCCAAAGTGCTGGGATTACAGGCGTGAGCCACCACACCCAGACGTGTTTGGTACTTTCATCTAATCTTCAAGACCTAATGATACAGGTATTATTCCCATTTTAAAAACAAAGACTAGGCCGGGGCGGTGGCTCATGCCTGTAATTTTCACACTTTGGGAGGCTGGGGTGGGCGGATCATCTGAGGTCAGGAGTTGGAGACCAGCTTGGCCAACATGGTGAAGCCCCGCCTCTACTAAAAATACAAAAATTAGCTGGGTGTGGTAGCACACACCTGTCTGTAGTCCTAGCTACTCGGGAGGCTGGGGTAGAAGAATCTCTTGAACCTGGAAGGCAGAGATTGCAGTAAGCCGAAATCGTGCCATTGCATTCCAGCCTGGGCAACAGAGCAAGACTGTCTCAAAAACAAATTAAAATAAAAAATAAAGACCAAATGTCCAAAACATAAATATTTAATATGAATACAGCATAGCCAGCCAGTTCTCTGACATGTAAGCTGGGAGTCTTTCCACTCTCATCTCTCTACTCATCCTAGAATATGTCAAAAAATAAATTGTTTTAAAAAAGGAGTGTATATTCAGGGCAACTGGAATATATACTCCTGCTAAGCGTTTTTTAAACAGAATATTTCGAGTCCATCTCTATTACACTGTTTATCATGCTGTAGTATAAACATCTATTTATATGTCTGACTCCACAGCAGTATCATAACATCTATTTCTGAATGCTTAGCACATAAAACGAGCTCAATAAACGGTAAACGAACTCATCAGATCCACGTCCAAGTGCTTGTAACTCTTCTAGTCATCAGCCTTGTGACGTTAATAATATCACATAATTTCAATAAGACTCAGATCAAAAGCTGCACCTCACTAGTATTTAGGAAGATGGAAGGCTGATTTTCTGCGGAGAAGTGCGTGGAAAACTCTTAACTCCCCTACTCACCCACCTGTGCCCGGAGGCGTGACATAAGTCCGCCGCGGGTTCGCCAGCACCTTGCCATCCCGCACCACACCCACGCCAATCTTATTGGCGCTGCCTTCAAAACCCAGCACCGCCGGCATGGCGGAGCCTGGGAGAAAACGCCGACAGGACTCCTAGCAACGTCAGGAGCTGTGGAGGTCCTCACTAGTCTGCGCTGGGCCGCAGCTTTTCGGAGCGCAGAGGAAGCGGCCTAGCCTGCAGATAACAGTGGGAAAGACAGCGCAGAACTCCCGCGAGCGGAGACCCGCCAAGGCCCCTCCAAGGACCTGTCTTCCTAACTGCCAGGGACGCCGAGCAGACTCTGTGCTTTACAATCCTATCCGTTTTCCTATCTCTTTCCCGTGGTCCAGCCCACCCTTCTCCACTTTTTTTTTCCCTCTTGCACAGCGTTAGACTCTTACTTAAGTCAGAGTCAAACAATGTGCCGTGCGTCGGGCACAACGATAAACAGCCCGAAGAAGGGTTGGGGCCCTAGGTCTCCTAGAGAATTAGATGAGGGAGGCAAGGCCAAGCGACTTCATCACGTGGTGTCAGACAGACCAATCACGCGCGTTCTTCGGCCATGTGACGCGTGCCTCTGATCACGTGACCAGGTCCGCTACCCACGTGGGGGCTCAGCGTGCATCCTTCTTTGTGCTCGGGTTAGGAGGAGCTAGGCTGCCATCGGACCGGTGCAGATACGGGGTTGCTCTTTTGCTCATAAGAGGGGCTTCGCTGGCAGTCTGAAGGGCAAGCTTGAGTCAGGACCCTTAATTAAGATCCTCAATTGGCTGGAGGGCAGATCTCGCGAGTAGGGTACAAGGCACTATGAAATGATCTAGTTACGTGGGTGAGGGGCTGAAGGGCCTATGATGCACGGAGGCGGGGAAAGGATTTAGAGATAACATGGTTTGAAAGGCGGGACCTGGTGCGGGGACGCTCTTGAGAGGAGTCTTCTCCCCAGGCTTAGCTGGTTTCATGATTTCTTTGCGTCTGTAGGCAACGCGGTAAAAATACTGCTTTGGTGGGCGACGCGGTACAGGTGCCGAAGAGCGTTCGTTACGGGAATGCCGAAGCGTGGGAAAAAGGGAGCGGTGGCAGAAGACGGGGATGAGCTCAAGACAGGTAAGAGAATAAAATGAGCCCCTCTTCCTAGAAGCTACGGCGGGGGGTGTTTGTAATTCCCTTGATGAACGGTAAGTACGGGCCGACTCATTTTTGCAGGGGTTTGTGAAGACGCAGTAACCGCAGGCTTTCGTTGGGTCCATAGTTAACGCCGGATCGCGGTTGGAAACCACCCACTTTTTGTCAGTATATATTACTCATTTTATAGAGCCAGAGCCCAAGAAGAGTAAGACGGCCGCAAAGAAAAATGACAAGGAGGCAGCAGGAGAGGGCCCAGCCCTGTATGAGGACCCCCCCGATCAGAAAACCTCACCCAGTGGCAAACCTGCCACACTCAAGATCTGCTCTTGGAACGTGGATGGGCTTCGAGCCTGGATTAAGAAGAAAGGATTAGATGTGAGTGGTATTTGAGGGGAAGAGACATTCTTTAGTATTGAATGATCTTAGGGTTTAGTCACCCCTTTTCTCCGTATAGCCTTCAGGCTGTTTTTTCTCCTGCCTGCAGTTTTCTGTGGGGCTTCCCCAGTCTTGCCAGTTGTATTTCCTAAGTGTCTGTTCCTTCACTTCCATTGCCATTTTCTTTTTTAATGTTCTCTCCTCTTCCCAGAATGTTGCAAAAACCTCTTTACTATATTTCCTCCATTTTATCTTCAGCATGTCCTCCATTTCATTAACTATAGCTTAAAAATCTTAGCTTGCCTATAGAAAAAACACATAGTATAGCACGTAAGACTTTCTTACCTCTGTTTTCATTTATCTAGCTTTGAATTGTTTAAATATTGTTTAACCTCGAACTGCTTGACTGTTTAACCTGTGCATATTTATGACTTAGCATATATTCAATAAATGTTCTGCTGAATTGATAATACATTTATCACCTTTCTTTTCACTTATAGTGGGTAAAGGAAGAAGCCCCAGATATACTGTGCCTTCAAGAGACCAAATGTTCAGAGAACAAACTACCAGCTGAACTTCAAGAGCTGCCTGGACTCTCTCATCAATACTGGTCCGCTCCTTCGGACAAGGAAGGATACAGTGGCGTGGGCCTACTTTCCCGCCATTGCCCACTCAAAGTTTCTTATGGCATAGGTGAGACCCTATTGATGCTTAATGCCTGAACTCTTCAAGACCAATTGCTAATTTTCCATCTCTGCCCCACCTCTTGATTGCTTTCCCTTTTCTTACAGTTTTTTATGCTAATTCTGTTTCATTTCTGTAGGCGAGGAGGAGCATGATCAGGAAGGCCGGGTGATTGTGGCTGAATTTGACTCGTTTGTGCTGGTAACAACGTATGTACCTAATGCAGGCCGGGGTCTGGTACGACTGGAGTACCGGCAGCGCTGGGATGAAGCCTTTCGCAAGTTCCTGAAGGGCTTGGCTTCCCGAAAGCCCCTTGTGCTGTGTGGAGACCTCAATGTGGCACATGAAGAAATTGACCTTCGCAACCCCAAGGGAAACAAAAAGAATGCTGGCTTCACGCCACAAGAGCGCCAAGGCTTTGGGGAATTACTGCAGGCTGTGCCACTGGCTGATAGCTTTAGGCACCTCTACCCCAACACACCCTATGCCTACACCTTTTGGACTTACATGATGAATGCTCGATCCAAGAATGTTGGTTGGCGCCTTGATTACTTTTTGTTGTCCCACTCTCTGTTACCTGCATTGTGTGATAGCAAGATCCGTTCCAAGGCCCTCGGCAGTGATCACTGTCCTATCACCCTATACCTAGCACTGTGACACCACCCCTAAATCACTTTGAGCCTGGGAAATAAGCTCTCTCAACTACCATTCCTTCTTTAAACACTCTTCGGAGAAATCTGCATTGTATTTCTCATCTATAAAAATAAGAATCCTCCAACCAGGCTCCTGTGACAGACTTAGAGTTCTTTTAAGCCCAAGAGTTTTTATTTGAGGGTTTTTTCTTTTTTAAGAAAAATTGAACAAAGACTACTAATGAGTTTGTTTGAATTATCCACACGAAAATAAAGAGCCATAGTTTCAGCCTTGCTGTCTTTGTGTCTTACCCCTTCGTGGGGCTACATATTCCCTTCCTCATATTTTCGTGCATACAAGTTAACAACTGAAAAAGGGTAGAGTCATCACCTTATTTATTTACAAGCACAGGATAAGTCCCTAACCTCCCCCAAAGACTGAGCAACTCTACCCAGCCCAGTTAAATACTGCAACTGGGGGGGGGAGGGGTGGGTAAAAAAGGTTGGAAGGAGGAATTAAGGGAAATATAGGAATAGGGGAACATATCCCACATTAAATAGTTATATACACATCAGTTCCTGTGGTTCTGTACAGAGCAGCGGCTGACCCCACCCCCACAGGAAACAATGTGGGGAGAGGAGACTGAGGGTACTGAGGCCAGAGCCAACCTCTGGTGAAGTGCAATAGCAGCAGCAAAGTCCTAATGGTGCACAAGAGGGAGGGGAACCCCCAGGGCTACCCACCCCCACCCTGCCCTGGAATGTGTAAGGGACAGGAATGGCTCTCAGGGAGCACACAGGAAGGACAAGGCTGGAACCGTCTTTAGGACCCAGTTTTAAGGGCAACGTTTTGCCTACTTCACCCTAGACACAGCAACCCTTGGAGGAAAGCAGATGGTCAGCAGTGCTCTTATCTGCCCCTCCAAACCTAAGTGAGGGCCTGGTTCCTTCCTACCTCTCCCCAGGGAAAAGGAAGGCAGCTGCTTGGCTTCCTTATAGAAGCCCCGGGAGCCTTTAACTACCCCAGCTCCCTTCGTAGTGTCACTGTCCCCACCAGGGAGGGGCCAGGCACAGTCTGTGGGTCATCAGGCTCAGGAGAAGTTCTGGACAGGGTGGCTGACCTTCATACAGGCCCAATAAAGGGCCCGGCCCAAACACAGCACAGCCAACAGGATGACAAATGCCCAGGCTGCATAGATGCCTCCATATCGCCGTGCATGCTTCCATGTGCCAAACTGATGAAGGTAAGGAGGGAGAAGAAAAGAAAGATGGGGTTAATGTTGGTCTCCACTACCTCCTATTAGTCCTAAGAACAGTAATAACTCATGCTTCAGTCCTTGTTCCTTATCCACATGTAGCCACCCTCAGGGACCTTCTTAAAGGCAGAGCTGTTCAGCTCCCTTCCCTTAGGCAGTAACATACTCATCCCATCCCACACTGTATCTCAGTTTTTCTTTATATCTGACAACTGAGCCAGGTTTGCAAATAGCAACTCTTAAATTAAGCACTTCACTGTCCTATCCTCATCCTACAGACAAAGGATGGCTATTTTGCACTCTTAGTAGTAATAAAGTCTGTTTGATCAGCCACCTTACACTTTAGCTCATCCATATCTTAAAACAAACTACTCCCCCAAGTTTCTTCCACTTTTTTTTTTTTTTTTTTTTTTGAGACGGAGTCTCGCTCTGTCGCCCAGGCTGGAGTGCAGTGGCCGGATCTCGGCTCACTGCAAGCTCCGCCTTCCGGGTTCACGCCATTCTCCGGCCTCAGCCTCCCGAGTAGCTGGGACTACAGGCGCCCGCCACCTCGCCCGGCTAGTTTTTTGTATTTCTTAATAGAGACGGGGTTTCACCGTGTTAGCCAGGATGGTCTCGATCTCCTGACCTCGTGATCCGCCCGTCTCGGCCTCCCAAAGTGCTGGGATTACAGGCTTGAGCCACCGCGCCTGGCCTCTTCCACTTTTTTTAAGGGTAGCAATTTCCCAAATCTTAGCCTATGGAGATGAGGCTGCAGAATGAAAGAGACTGGGGCGAGGGTACTCACAGCAAGGCCAGTGGCAGTGACTGCCAAAAGCAAGCCAAGCAAGAAGCAGCAGATACATCTCTTACGTGGGTATCTGCGCCCAATAGATGACCTGTGGGGAGGCAAATAGAAATGGATGCTTTCTACAGCCATAGAGTTTTTACTCCATACATCAATGACCAGCTCAATCCCTAATCACTTACACTTTCCTGCAGTGAGGACAACGTGCCAAGGTGCGGTCTGTGAACTCTGTCCACTATGGAGAAAGAAAACGAAAATAATAGCACAAGCAGGGTCCCCCTCAATGAGAACCTTGGGGTGGGGATGCAGAACATGTTCCCATAGGACAGACTTTCAGGGGTCATTACCATTACTCCAAGAAATATACTCGAAATGACTCCTAGTCTCCTCTCCCCTCCCCTTCCCAATACCTCTTCCTCACCAGAAAGGTATTCTTGCAATGTCCACAGATAACCCTGACACCCATGGGTTGTGGTTCTGGACTCAGAGGTCCGGGATGCACAGGCCCCAGATTGATGATTCTTTTGCTATACAAAAGAAAAAGACTGTGTTTGAAAAGTTTTTAATCCTAAAAATCTTCACACAGTCCCTGTTTCACATCCTCCACTCCCTGCCTATGAAGTCACTCGACTTTGTACACTTAAAATACTCTGTCCCCCAACTGTATTCCCCTCAAGAATCCTTGAGAAAGAAAGAGCACTGCTTAAACTTCAGGTCCCCAATTCCCCTCCGACCTCAGGATAACACACCCAGTCCCCAAGGCTGTCTATTCTCCTAAACGACATCATTTCATCCCAATATTTTTATTGAGAAATGAGAAAGACAGCTGTAACATTCCTGAGGCATATGCTTCAAAGTCTTTTCTCCTTCTAAATAAACACTAGGCTCTCTCACCTTTACATTCTCTATATACGCTCATCTTTTTTTGACTTTCCAGTTGCCCACTTATGCCCTTCCCCACATTATGCCTCTTACCAGTAGGGCCGAGGGCATGCAATCCGTTGGGATGTCACTTTGCAGATAAGGAGACAGTTACAGGGGCATCGAACATATTTTTTCCCTGGGGGTGCATTCTTGATTGGCTAGAGAATAACAGGGTCATCAGCAAGCAAACCTCTAATCCCAATCCCCTCCACTTCCCTCCAAAAACTCTTTATGAGATCAGAAAAATAAGGTGCTAGCCAGGAAGGAGAAATAAAACAGACTATAACATGAGATTTGCAAATAGGAACTAGGCTAGGTGTGAAGTGAGAGAAAGTAAACGTTAGCTTTGGTGAGTGGCTTTTGGGGAAATGGCTGTGTGAGACACCTGGAACTGAAACCTGGGTATCATCAAGAGCACTTGGCTAACAGCCGCAAGGTCGGGGTCTAGAATCAAGACATCAGAAAGAGGATCCAGGAAACAGGGCCCATTTCATAGATATGTATAACTCACGGTGGCTTCATTGCAGACACCACACTTGACTACGTGCTGATGCATCTTGCCTTCCACGTTGATGAGAGATTGGCAGACTCGGCAGGTGATCATAGGGGCACTCCCACTGTCTGGGCTAGTTAAGGGTGAATAGGGGGGTGGGTCCTCCCCAGGCAACACGGCTGGATGTCCCTCGGGGAACGGGGGAAATGCTGGAGAGGAAGAAAATAGAAGGGCTGGGATCACTTACAGATATCCTCCACTGATGCTCCACGGTGGTAGGGAAATCTTTCTGATCTTCAACCCTCTGACCAAGCTTGGAGGGCTTCTCATAATTGGCGCTTCCATCAGGTTGCTCAGAACCCCCTTCCGTCCCACGCTGTGGTCGCGATTGCAGAGGGAAGGAAGCCTCGCCCAGTCACAGGTGCAGCAGTCCCGCACCTGGCGACTGGGACCCGCCTCCGCCCTCGGTCCCGCCCCCTCCCCGGCTTTCAGAGTACCCCGGGGAGCACCTCGGACCCGCCCCGGCTTACCCTGGGGCGGGGCATGTTTACCGGCTCCGTACGGTGGTGCGGAGGGGGTCAGGCCTCCCCCGGGCCCAGCCCCACTCCCGCCTGGCCCCACTAAACCGTTGCCGCCCGCGCCACCGTCGATGGGCTCGGACAGCAGCGGGGAACGCTCTCCATCTGCCGCCATGGCCGCCGCCGCCGCCTCCCGCTCAGGTCGGCGATCCGGCTCCCTTCGCCTCTGCCGTCGCCGCAGCCGCAGCCACCGCCACCGCCACCGCCACCGCCACCGCCGCTACCGGGTCCCCAGGGCGCCTGCGCGCCGCGCGCCCAGCTCACTCCGCAACCAGTGGCCTGCCCCGCCCCGTTCCGTCTAGCAGCACTTGATAGGCTCTCCCCGCCCCGGTCATGCTGTTATTCGCGTAGATAAACCAATTCCTAGTCCTGTGAAGGCAGCTCTCCTTTTCCATTGGGGAGCGTCGCACAAACGTCAACTGTCACATGACCTGCCAGATGCTGCTGGGCTTGCAAAACCTGCACGTGACTAGAGGTTCTGCAAGCTATTGGGAGCGACGCCCATCGCGCTACCTCCAGACCAGGAGGTGGGGCTAGGCTGCTTCTGCTCAACTGGTCTTCTGGAAGCTGCACGGGCTCTGTTGCTCTGCCCCTCATTGGTTCAAAGACAACACTTTTCTCCGGCTTTGCGTTATAACTGGTTTTCTATTGGCTGGTGACTTTCCTTCCCTAGTCCTGTGATACTAGCGGCGCAACTGCATTGGGCCGAACTTAGCGCCAGAACATGGGGGGCGTGGCTTATGCATTTTAAAGGAGGCTGGGCGGGTGCAATCAAGGAGTGCGGAAGCTTGGGATCTTCAGAGCGGGGAGAAGATGGACGGTGGGGAACAGTAGACAAAGTTAGCCATTCTGCTCGAAGAAGTACCTTTAAAAAGTCAGGGTAATGATGTACCAGGAGGAAATGGATTAAAAAGTTAAGATTATCTCTCCAGCCTTTGTCGCTGGAGTTACTTTAGGGACAGGACACAAGACTCGGTTCTCCTGGAAGCTGCCCTTACAGAGCCCGTCTTTCCCCACTACTGATCAAATTGTTAAATTATCTTTTCATGAGTGTCTCCAATACTAGAAGATTTCGTCGTTTTGCTAAAAAAAAAAAAAAAAATTCAATAAAGATGGGGTCTTGCCTGTGCTGGAGTCAAACTCCTGGGTTTGATATCCCGCTTAAGCCTTCGCAATAGCTGGGAGGGACTACAGGCGCAAGCCACCGTACCTTTACTCAATTTTATGACCACCAACCTTTAACATTTGTTATT